ACAAATAATTTGATATTAAATTCGTATAAACTCTATGTTAAATTTTTCAACTTCAATAATTTTTAGATTGATTGCGAGATTTTGGATTTTGGCGAGAACAGAATTAAATTAACTTCAAAAAGTCAAAACATTTGCTCATCTAGTTATTTGCACTGACATATTGTAGTTATGTAGAAACATAATCATTCACAATATTATAAATTATTATGAATTTAAAGTAGAAAATCAAATAAACCACAAAATGATATAAAATTCTTATTTTATTTTTAATTTTTTTTTGTTGAATGAATGAAAAAAAAAATTCTTCACATAAAATTTGAGACAGAATTAAAAGAATTTTATATGTGTAGCCACTCATGTATAGTTTGTAATGAGTATGTTGGTATAATAGTTTTGAAGCGGTACCGCAAAAGAGTGCAAAATTTTATTGTACATTAACCGGTATTAATGTCTCTGATGAGTTCTGCTCAATATTGATTTCTTTCAGTATGAAAGCTCATTTACCTTTTTTTGAGGTTATTACTTTTAGTTCTTTAATTATTATTTTGTAATTTATTAAAATTATTATGTTATTTTTAGGTAAGATTTGGTAAGAATATGTAGACGTTCAATATGTAATACTTTGAAGACATTAAAATATATTCGAAATCAAAATAAATATTAAGTGAGAGAATTGAACAGATTGTGAGAGTGTTTCGTGTACCATTGAGGTAGCCTCTTTAGTTTTCGGTTTAGTTTTGAGTACAAGAGCCCAGATTGCAGAAGGTAATTCTGCAATATTATGGGTCGACTTTACTTATTTTGCAGATTTGTGCAGATATAAAGTCAGTTATAATGAGAGCAAAAAATGAGAAACAAAATGACGGCTTAAGTTATTTAAATCTTTCTCACATTTTAGTATACTCTTGTTTTGAGGCGAATAAAATTATAACAGTAAATATACATATATAAAATTAAATTTAATATTAAAGTTTATGAGAAAATTTTTCAATTACTCATAAACTCTTATAATATGAAATGTTCTTTTTTTAATTGTATTTATTTTTCTTGTCATTCTTAAAAGCTTATTATTTTTTTTACCATAAATTAATTTTAATAATAGCCTGTGCCTCTATAAATAGGAAAATAATATGTTTTTATAAATTTTTTTTATTAAAAATCTCTTCATATGCTACTTATATAATGAAAGTTAATGCGTTTATGATTTGTTCTATAATTTTAATCATAATGAAAATGAAAATCATTATTATTGAAAGTTGCTATTTATTACGTAGTAGATTACGAAGAACACTTGCATTTAAGTACATGTATGTATATCAAGCGTTCATTTTATATATATATATATATGTATATTTAATTAATTGCAATCATTAAACATTTTTCATATTTTAAATAAAACTTAAACATTTCTGGTTCATTTACGAAATTTTTATTATAGTATACGTCACAGTCACGTTTGTTATGCTTATATAATATTGTTGATATTTTGCCTGTAAATATTATTTCCTGCTCAAAAGTAATTAACTTGTATACATATGGAATGGTTTTTTTAATTATAGAAATACAGGATTTTATAACAGTCTATTGTACTCTAGTTCCTTCTTCTATAATAGTGATATATTATTTTCTGGTGTAAATTGAAATTAAATGTTAAATTTAAATAAAAGTTAAAAAATATCGTCGTCGAACCTTTGACGTGATAATGCTCTCATATGTACGGCAAATTCCGCCGCCACCCCCTTCAATAGAATGTCCATCGAAATAAGGTTGAAAAATCCCTCGAGCTTTGTGTGAGTAGAGCACAAAACCTAATAATAAGACTGAATTTGCATTTAACATCTTTTAATCCGTTGTTACTGATTTAATTTTTAAACTTCCTATTGAATTTTTATAAAATTTTCAAATTGTCATTCAGAAAACTATAAATTTTTTTTTTTTTTTGCAAAAACATTCAATAAAAAAATTCAATTATTTGCATTCTTCAGAAATAAAAAAAAAATCTAAAAATCATAATTACGGTTAAAATATTTCAGAAATTGCTTTTTTGTATTTAGTAAAGTTCAAGTGTAGCCTTATAAAATTGCAATATTATACTTAGATTTTAAATTTTTTTTAATGTTAAATTAAAAAACTAATTTGTAATATTCATTCATTCATTCTACATGTCCATGATACTTAATTTTAGAATCGATTGTTAATAGGTGTACGTATACTAATGTAGGTATGTTTGTATGTAAGAAGTAGGTGAATAAAATCTTAAATTAAGAAATAATTTGCCACAAATTGTGTTGATTTTGTATATATTTGTATACTAATATAATTTCTCAAGAACATTATATAATATTATGTAAAAAGAGCTTACCTACGTATATGCTCTACTCCAATTACTTTGTAAGAATAGCATAGCTGGACTGTAGAATGTTTTATGCATACACTTATGCTATTTATTTTCCATCCATATAAACTCATGCACATACATATATATATGTATGTATGAATATTTTATATAGAATTTTATAACTTATTTCTAATGATTTTTCTTATTACTTTTAATAAAATATCAAAATCCGATAGAACACAAAGATAAATATTATTAATTTAATATAAATTTTAAATAAAGAAATACTCGTAATATAAGAAAAACCCATAAATCCATATACTTATCTTTGATATACTTACTTAGTTAGTTAGTCACCTAAGTTTTAACACACATAAAATATTGAAATGCTTAAATTTATTGTTATACCATAGATGAAAGAAAGACTAAACATGTACGAGGTATTTTGAAGTTTTATATTCAGTCTGCATATTCTGAACGAAATATTGAAAATTTTTCAAATTTTTATTTTGTTAACATTTAAAGCAGAAATCAAAGAATTTAATTTAATTTGAGTGCAAAACTTACGGATATTTCGCGATTGTTTTTTGTCAATTTTTAAATATCTGTGTACCGTATTTTGAATCTTGAAATCATTTTACAGCTGAACTCATTTAAAAATATCTTATACCTACATAATTTAGGGCAACCGTCGACAAACTTTTGTGGGTTATGGGCAAATATGTAGTATGTGAGTATGAGTATGGGCGACTGGACTTTCTTACATTACCTGCTTGTAAGAAGAAATAACATTTTCAACTGGTTGATGTTAAAATTTTTTTTAAAAAAATTTGTCAAATTTTGATAGTCGCAATTGAATATTTTTTTTGTTGCAAACAGAATGATGGGCTGCATGCTGCCTATAGGCCGCACTTTGCCGACGACTGCTTTAGGGGAAACGTGTTCAACGCCTTTATTTCAATTTGTTTAAAATTGAAAATTTTATATACTGTAAGTGAATTTATCCAAAAAATTATGCATTTAATAGCTGTAGACTTATTTAAAAATGAGCACTTAACTAGTAAAATTTGAGTAAATTTTGCGCGAAAAAAATTTTGAATCGAAAATTTTGACAATAAAGCCCAAATGCGGAATATTAGTTTATTATAAATCTCTTCGACTGTATTTGTTTTACGTTATCGTGTCTTCTTACTCATTTTACATTTGCTCAATATTTAACGATTATTTGCATGTTATATTTATTCATATAGTTAAAGACGTAACAAAACTGGAATTACTGTATATTTTGAATCATTGTGTTTTGAAAGACACAAAAATGTTATTTTGATGTGGTATAAGCAGATACGCAACATTTCAAAAATTGCATGGTATCATTGGATTTCTATAAAGAAAATCTTTTGCATCAATTAAAAAAATGTTTACTCTTTAAAAAGTAGATATTTTAAAACACAAAGTAGGGGTTCGCCCTGTAGGGAGTGCTGTTTTCTATCCGCCCTTAATTAATTTTTTACAAGACGCCATACATTTCAAAATGTTATTGATTTTTACAAGAATGTAAAATATTCAGAAAACATTAAGCCCTTCAAACATATTTTATAGAATTAATTGAAATTTTTTCGAATTTCTCAAAATTGCAAAATAGATCTTTAATAAACAAAGTACATAGATCTTATAATTTAAAAAAGACACTTTATTTTTGCTATTATTTAGTATTTAACATATGGAACATGTTCACTTTACGGACGTTAATCTTTTTCTATTCAAAGTAAAAGTAAATTTTGCATGAGGAGATAAAAACTTTCATACAAACAGTTTTTTCCAAAAAAGACTGTTGTTGATTGAATTTCCAAAGACTGTCGATTTGATAATATCTTAATTTTACAAGATTTAGGCTGAATTCTTAAGATTAACTTCTCTGGACAAAAAGTACAGATTTATTAAAATTATATTGAACTTTGCTTTAGAATCAATATTTGGGAGTTTGGATTTAAGTTGCTTATATTCTGCTAATAGTCTGCACCATATAACCGAAATCGTTAATTTACATTTTCCCACAAGCTTAAAGATATTTTATAAATCTCGTCCAATATTATTTGAATTTACCTCATATTTTTAATGTAATTTTTAACATTGAATTTAATTCTATATAGATTTCATTGTGTAATTTAATTCATAAAGATTTTTTTATAATAAGTCAATTTGTTGTGTGTTGTAAAAGGCAAGCATAATCTGTTAAAATTATAATAAGTACACATACTATTGGAAGAAATAAAATTTTTAATGCAACAATAACAGTTGAAATGCATTAAATGTTCACAATTATTTGAAAATAAAAAAAAAAAAAACAATAAAAATAGTGTTAAGCGTTTAATACTTTTAATTTTAATGTTTCATAAAAACTACCTACATTTATAAGTGTACATAATGTTGCTAAAAATGTTATTACTGATTAACATTACATTACTTGTATTTCAATCTGTTATGTTATATTTTTCATATTATTATATTTAGTTACCTGTATGTTTTTCTTTTACTTCTACAATTGCAAAAAAATAATTTTATTTTTGCCTTTGATTTTTTTTTTATTCTGCTACAATTTATGAATCTGATCAGATTGTAGTTGACTATATAAAGAGGGTTTTCATGTGGGTTCTAGTTATCAGTAACCTCAAGTCATTTGAAGTGTATTGTACTCAAAACTACAAGAAAGGATTTTTCTTTTTTATTTAAATTATAAAAAAAATAAATAAATTTATTTTAAATTAAATATTCGATAATTTGTCAAAAAGAAAAAAAGCAAATAATATAAAAGAAATGGCTTTCATTAAAGTGAGTGAGATTTTAAGTGATTTGTTTTTTTTAAAAAATTGCGGCATTTTTAAGTATATATTAGAATTTAAATTATAAAAGGATTATTAGCTTGGAATAACATAAAAAACATTTAACACATTAGAAAAAAGCATATTTGAAAATATTAAAATTCAGTCAGAGTGTTCTTTTTTTTCAAATATTTCACATTTGGACGTTTCTAAAATTATCTTAGTTCTGTGATACTGCAACAAGAACTAATTTTATTGATAAATTTTGACTTGTGTAGATAATCTAATTGCATATAGTTTTTGTCAAGCTTAGAATTTTGATCTTGTAGTAAATCATGTCATTTCAGAATATTTTTGATTAATTTTTTGGAATGTGGATTAAAATGGAAATGAAATTTTAAAATTTTTCCAGAAAACAATAATTTCACAATTGTTAGAAATTTTTTTAAATTTTAACAAAATATAGTGAATTATTTTTCATGACAAAGTTTCCTCGACTTCCAAAATGCTGTAATTGGTTGTTAATATATAATTCAGGAATTATCACTTATAAGCTGAATTTTGTATTAATACTGCATTATTGCATTTTGGAAGTCATTCTAATTAAATAATTATAATGAAATTGTAAAATAGATTTTGCTGGAAATAAAATTCAATATTAATTCGATAGAATTCAAAATTTAATTTATAGGTTTCTAAAAGGTATTTTTGAAAAAATTGTATTTAAATTTTGATCAATATAATTTGGAAAAATTGTATTGGCACATACATACATAATTTCTGGGAATTATTATTACTTCCAACATAGTACAAATTGATATTTTCATAAAAACTTGAATTACTGTTATTATTAACCCATTAATTGCTATAATCCTAAAAAAACATTCTCTTTAATTTCATACCATTGAAGATTTTTCAGTACTTTTGTAAAATTAAAGTTGTTATGCTTTAATTCTCAAGGATAGTTGTCAAATAATTCCAACAACAATATTTTAGACATCTTAATTGAAACTAAAACATTAATATTTTATTTTGAAAAATTTCAATATGTCAAACAAGTTTTCGATCTAGTTTTCATTTCATTTCAGAAAATAATTTTATAAATTATTTAGAATTACAATTTGAATTTTTTTTTTTTGAATTTGACAACATAATTCTACATAATTTTTACAAAATTCTTGTTTAACTAAACATAGCATGAACATTATGTTATAAAATTTATTTTAAATGAAAAATATTACGAAATTCTCAACAAAATATGCTTAAAATTGTAGAATACTCCATTTTATTCTCTGTTAAACTTCAATAAATTAGAATACTACTAACAATATGATATTGGAATTATTATAATTTAATAATAATTTTGTATTTATTATTATTTATATTTACAGTCAATTGTATGTTTAGCAGTTTTGGGTGTAGCTGTTGCATCAGTAGTTCCATTAGGTCATCATGCTGTTTATTCAGCTGTACCAGCTCATCTTGATGAAGAACATTTAGATTATTATGTAAGTTTTATTTATATTTAACATCAAAAATAAATTTCTCTACAATTACATGCCTTTAATATTAATTACATAATTAGTATTGTTACCATATACTGTTTATATTTAATATCAAAATATTTACTTAATTTAAAATTCAAATTGTCTTTGGTTTTAAAAAAAGAAAATTTTAAACTCGTGTACCCATATTTCGTTAAAGAACTAATTTTAGATTTCAGTATTATTGTTCATAATTAATATTCTAATCAGATCCATGATTATTTTTTTCATAAACATATAGAATTTCCTTTGTCTACATTATTATATACCAATATTTAATCTTATATAGACAAAATTTTTACTTTCTTATTTGGTAAGATTATATTTGCATTAATAATAATTATGAATTACGAATTGATATTATATAAGAAAACATAAACAATAAATCGTGATTTATGAATTAAAATCGGAAAATTTTAAAATATGCAAAATAATATGGTGTCTGTCATTCAATTTAATCATACATATATAATTCTAGAACGATATAGAAATTATTATACTAAAAGCATAACTTTAAGATATTCCAATGCATTTTGTTTATGAAAACATGCACCTGGTTACTTGAAAACAGAAGTTCTTTTTATATTTCTGTTGGTCATTGCTTTTTTCAAAGATTCACGACTTATTACAGAGTTTAAAATAATAAAGATTAGAATAAGGAAACTTGAAGCTAAATTTAACAAATTAATTCATGGTCTTGGAATTTTTATAATTTTTTTTATAAAAAATTTCTTTTTCCAATAGAATATCTTTTGTGTTATAAAAGCCATTGAGAAATTTTGTAAATATTGCAAGGAATGAATGAATTTTAATTGTTCATTCTAGATACTGAATTTGTATTCAGTTATTTCTTTAATTTCGGAGTTGATACTGAAATAATTGTTGACTGAATTTTTAGACCATTATTGGTATTCTGAACTTTAATTAAGTTATTGTGTCCAAATACGTTCTAGCGACATAATTTATTGTACAAGTTTATAAATTTCATGAAATAAGGTTTGAAATCAATTAAAAAATTTTTAATTAATTGAAATAAAGCTAGTTCACTATGTATTTCATATCAGAATTTTTAATATATTACAAAACAATTTTAATGATTCAGGAAATTCTAATTCACCCGGATAAACTAAAGTTTTCTACATCTGGTTGTAAATAAAATCTTATTCGCATATATAACGCGAGTGACCTTTAAAATTTACTTCTGCAATATTGCAGAAACAATAACAAAAAAAAAAAACAATTTGTCCTTGCACCGGTTTATGACGTAAAATATTTTTTTATTTCATTTCAAGAAAGAATAATTATTTCATCGTTCACTTACATACACACGAACAAATAATTCATATATAAAATTAAAGTTTTACTCAGTTTATGTAGTATTTTGACAAGTTGACTATAGCATTCTGATTCATAAAAATATTTTAAGTTGTAAGTATTGTAAGAAAATCAAATTCAATTCTAGTACATGATAATTACAAGGTTATTGAACGAATGTTCGCGTTTAATATTAATCTCAATTCAAATGTGTATAACATAAATTACAAAATATTTTTACTGTTATACTGTTACTGTTATTTATTGCTAAATGATTCTAGAGAAAAAATTTTTTAATTGTAAATAATACCGAGAATTTTTTTTTATATTGCAAGATTAAGGCAACTGTAAGTAAAACAAACATCCGGTTAATTCTGAATCTCTAATTTTGGCTTTTCTGGTTCGAATTCTATATTATTTTAATTTTTTAAAATTTATATTTTATTATAATTTTTTTTCACTCGGATATATTGTTTAAAATTAATATTTTTATAAAAGGATCTAAGATAGTTAAATTTAAAAGAGAAGATTAAAAAGAATATTAGAATGGTAAATTTCAACTCGAAATAATAAATATAAAGTTTTAAATGAGAAGAAATGAAACATTTATGTGAAAAGAGAATTCTCAAGAAATTTATTTACTGTTATAACAGTTACCTTTAGCATTATTGTCAAAGAACAAAAATTGGCATTACAAGTAATCGAATAAAATTTTGCTGATATCCCTCCTGCTCAGATTAATTTAACATCTACTATTGCACAAGATTTTCTATTAAAATAATTGCTTTCTATTAAAATTTATTGAAATAAAAGTTAATATTTCCTCTTATTTATTAATTTTCTCCATTTTTAAAATTTATTATTCTCGCATGCTAAATTGTACTAAAATTAATAATAAATAAATTTGTTCCCAGCTTCAATTTTGAATATTTAATAATATTAGCAGAAAATTTTCGAAATTCCTCAACAAATTATAGTATTTACAAAATTAACTTATTTTTATTTCTTAAAATTATGTCAAAGATAGCAGTTAAAAAAAATAACAATTAAATTAATTTTAATATTATATATATACATGCCAATGTTGTTAGTTGCAGTATTAAATGTTACTTATACAATTTAACTACATAATTATGTATTTTTATACATTTTGCTTCTTAAATTACTTTATTCATTATTAGAGCTATTAAAAATAAACAGTGTAAAATAAAACGTGTTTAAAATTACATTAATTAAATTAATTTAATTGAGCAATAACCCTGGCAATACTTGACAATACATAATATTATACTAGATCGTATTCTACTACTTTATCGTATTTGTACTCGACAATTTATTTCAGTGTATTATAATTCATTGAGAAAAATACTGTAAGAAAAAATGAAAGTGTTTTTTTCTTCTATAATTATTTATTCTATTTAAAAATTCAATTCATTTTCTATTCGAACTTATTTAATATAGAATTTGTTATAGATATTTAATGTATGTGTAGTGTGCGATGGTTAATTTATAGGAATTCTAAATGATCATGTTTTGTGATGAAAATATTAATTATATTATTAAAATGTTGTCATTATACAAATTAAATAAAATTAAATACAAAATATAATATTGTTATGTGGACAACCATATAGACAGTTGTGAAGATAATTTTAGAAAATAGATTTTTTAGCACCCCAACAACACTTTGGAATTTTAAGGTTAAAATTTAGTGTAAATGATTTTGATTTAATAGACCTATTAAAATAAAATGTTCGTGATTTCAATAATTTTGTTTTTGATTTGCTTTTATTTTCGAAAAATATTACTTTAGTGCTTGTTTCTTAGTTCTTTTGCAAAATTCTTTTTATACACGCACGAATATGCTAAATAAATATTGAGGTTACCTTTTTCGATTTTGAATTTAATACAAGTAGTGTTAAAATTGATTTCATTTAAATTTATCTAATGTTACTACAATTACTGCATGCTAAATAACTGCTATGCAAATATATTTATTGTATGACATAATGTAGTGTTATGGCACTATTAGATAAAAGAGGTCGCAAAGTATGACAATTTTAATGACATACTTAACTGCTAATTTGTTTTAAAATTTAATTTTATTCAAAATTTTCAATTCCTAGTGCTATAAGTGAGTTGTTTAAAAAGTGTTCCACATTAATCCTAGCCAATATTTTCCACCTTAAGAAAAAAAACATAAAATTTTGTTTGAATTTCATTCTTAAACTTATTTAATTTTTATTTTATTTAATTTTTCCATTTTTTTTTTCTGTATTTTAAACAGTCTCATCCAAAATATGCATACAATTATGGTGTTGCTGATGCTGTAACTGGTGATGTTAAATCACAACATGAAGTACGTGACGGTGATGTTGTTAAAGGACAATATTCATTAGTTGAACCTGATGGTTCTGTTCGTACAGTCGATTATACAGCTGATGATCATAATGGTTTTAATGCTGTTGTTACAAAAACTGGACCATCAGTTCATGTTGCACCAGCAGCTCATGTTGCACCAGCTGTTGTTGCTCATGCAGCTCCAGCAGTAGCAGTAGCTCATTCTGCTCCAGCAGTTTTATCACATGCAGTAGCACCAGCTGTTGTTGCACATGCCCCAGCTGCTGTATCACATGCATCAGTTGCTCATCATGCAGCAGTACCAGCTGCTGTACATGTTGCTCCATATGCTGCATATGCCGGTCCTGTAGCTTATGCTGCTCATGGTCATCATGGTTATCATCATTATTAAAACAGAAAACTTAAAAAGAATGTGAATACGAACTTTTGAAAAAAAGAAATGTATTAGAAGAATGCAGGCTATATATTTGATCAAAATGAGTTTTATGAATTGTGGACCCACCAAATTGATATTGAATTTTTTTTTTTATTTTAAAAATTTTAATTTAGTATAATTTAAATGAATGAATTGAAAAAATGTCTTCCCATCTTCCTTTTTAACTATATTTTTCGCATATGAACATTTACAAGTTATATACATACATACATATATTGTGTTTTTATTTTAATATTATGAGTCATTCTGTATAGAAAAACTGCCAATATAATAATTAGAAAGTAAATGTTAAAAATGTAAAATATTTAATTGTAATTGTGAATTGTACAGAGTGTTACAGACTATTTTCATTACATATACTCATTTATACAAGCATATAAATTTCAACGAATTTTATGTAAATTTATATTTTATGCTTTTTTATATTTTATTTCTTATATTATTTAATTTAATAAAAAATTATCTATAAGGACACTGAAATATTTTTGGATTTTATTTATTTTTTCCTTGCAATTTTTTTAACAACAAATTGTACGTATAACATCATAAGGTTATGAAAAAGTTATAAAAACTATTACTTAACAGTCAATTACAATTGACTTGAAAGTTATTGAAAATATTTTTGAGAATTTTTGGACAGTTTCCGTTATAAATATCATAAAGACATAAAGGATTGAAAGTTAGGAAACGCTTATGCAAAGGCATATGTATATTTGCATTAACAAAGTTTTGATGTTTTCATCCTTGACAGGAAAAGAATTTCGAAAAAGGATGTTGTGGTAAAGGTATTAAAACAAAATCTTTGCATTTTTGTATTCTTTACATTACCTTTAGCTTTTAATCATTAGCGAATTTTTGGAGATTTCAACAAATTACCGTTAAAGTCTCAATATGAAAAAGCAATATGAAGAGTCTAAACTGTGAGAGATGAGGATTTCATGAGCATATTTTCGAGTTTTCTTATAATCAAGCCTCTTTATAATCAAGGATCTTAAGATCTAACAGAGCCGACTTCCAGAAGTATATTCATAAAAAAGTTATTAAGCCTGTCTAGATCTTTTATTAGTTTAATATACACATTATACATAAGAGTGGGGCTCTAAGACCTTCGAACGATAACTCAAAAGTGATTGATCTAGGCTCACCAAACTTTCACAAATGATTTTTCAAAGTAAATTTGGGAACCCTATTTGAATTGGATGTGATATTTGGTTGAGGCAGTGGTTCAGGTAGTTGCCTTACAACTTCAAAAGTTATTTTTATACCTTAGAAATGATTGAAGCTATAATATTGGAGTTTCGCATAAGCAAGTATATATGACGGCTGTTATGTGTAATAAAAATTTCTGTTATTTGTTATACCGACATATATCGGTACGAGAGAAGTCCCGTTTGCGTCAGAAAACAGTTTAAAAGCGGCTCTAAGGCGGAACTTTAAAAATTTTTATAAAAATCGTTCCGACTAATTCTTCCGAATTTAGAATGAAACAGAATGGTTGTTCGACAAAAAAAGAAATGGCTGCCGCCTTAACATCATCTGATATTTGGATGCCGGGTATCGGTTCGCTTTTTCTATTTCAAACAAGCAATTATAAGGTTTCTTCTAAAATATTGTTTCAAGAAAAAATATGGAAAAGACACTCAAGGCTTCTTAACAAATAGGTTTTGTTTTAAAATAAAGTTAGATTTCTGTAGGTATAGAAACGAACACATTTAAAACACAAGAAAATACCAGAACAGATATAGTTGACCGTGTCAACTCTGTGATACCCGTACGAATAAATGATTTTAAATGTCCGATAATTGACATACGGTTTCGAAGCTTTCGAACATACGTTCGTACGGGAATGATCAGAATTATAATTATATGCAAGAAATATATAACTTAGTTGTGGTAATCAAAGAATAATGATAAAGAATGTCATAATAAAGATTTATATTAGCTAATTATATATTCATATGTACATTCTTAGATTAATTGTCTTTATATTATTTAGTGCCATTGTTTCTCCAACTATACAAATGTACTATACAAATTTGATATTTTTATATTTCTGGTGATTACCGCGCTATCTATTAACGGATATCAACATTAACTGAATTACATTGAAAAAATTTTTCTTACCGTTTCGATGTCGTTAAAATATTAAAATTTTTAATTTCAACAATTAAGTTTTTTTTTTATTTTTTGCTTTGTACACTGAATAACGAGAGATATAAAATTAGGTTAACAAGGCAATTAATATATTATCCCAGGGATCGCTGCTAGCTCAAAGTTGAAAAATGATATTTGTTTCTATATTAAAAGCTCTATATGCCCGTATTTATGAATTATTTTACGTTAAACCAAATTATTAGCATTATCGTATTTAAAATTTCTTTTTAAAACTTAAAACTTATTTTAATTGTGTTTAATATTTTTGGATTTTTGGTCACAAATAAAATCATGACTTCCCATATATTTACTATATTGTGTGTTCTAATAATATGAGTTTGAAAAATTAATTTATTCTTATATATCTTTGTATTAAAAATTTTTACTTTTGATAAACCACGGAACTTTAACAAAAACATTATTCCAATCAACACAATATAATGTTTATAAAAATAAATCTTTGGGCCTTTCCAAGATTTTATACCCTTATCCAGAATACCTATGATTTGGTGATTTTTATGAATTTTATAAGTAACTGTGAGGAAAAAGTATTAGAATTAGAAATAATTTTTAAAATGCAAAATGTGAGAAATGAATTTAAAATAAGGCTATAAGACATTTTCCAATAATTTTTTTATATATTATTGTTTTTTTGAAATTTATTAAAAAGCAAAATTATGAAAAATTAAAAATTCTGTAATTTATTCTATATTAGAACGATTTAAGACAAAAAAAAACATTATTGTTTAATAATTTCTTGAAAGTTTTTATGTGAAACCGCATAAAATTATTTTAAAAATGTGTTCTTGACCGATCAGAATCAGATCGAAAAATTTTTAATAAAACGCAATGAATGAATTAAATTTTAATCAAGGCGTTTGCAATCGTGTTTAATTTTTAATATTCTTTGGTGTAATTTCTGAATTTTATTAATAATGCATTAGAATAGTATCGTAATGTACTTGCGTATATTGTATGAATAAGAGGATTAACAAATTTAAAGTTCATTTTATTATGATAATTAATTATCTAGAAAAGTTTAAGGTTATTATCGAACGTAACATTAAGAAATTTCATTTTCAAGTTTAATTTTTCACTAAATGTAAATATATATATGTATGTATATTATGAAGTCTATTGTACACTTGAATTATTTTCTGTATGTTAGAATTTTATAAGAAAATAATGAAGTTTCAATCAAATTTACAATGTTCAGAGAAATTCTTACACAATGGAAATAAAGAGTGTTCTTCTATGAAAAATTTAAATCTAAATACGCATAATTTCTAATAACTCAACTGCTGACTCTTTCAAAGTTGTAACTTTGAAAGTAACAATTTTTTAGTACCCGTTTTTGTAATGTAAATATGTTTCATCAAATATTTTTAAATGTACATAACGGTAATTAAAATTGTTAAATAATTTAGAAGGTCAATACCGTAAAAAATATATGCGAATAAAATAATTATATACCATTTTTTAATTACCTATGTACTCCTTCTTATTTTATAATGTTTCATACATAATATTTTCCAACATATGTCTTTGCATATATGTAGGTTAAAATTGCAAAATTACAAAATTTTCCAGTTGTAATCCAGTTCAGTTAATTTTGAATTCGGTCCATTAATTCGTAATTAAAATTAATAAAATCAAATCATTCTTGCCTCTTCATAGCTTATTATTAAAGAGTGTGACATTTCGTTACAGTTATTAATTTAATTTTTATTTCTTCTTTTGTAACTAGGTATACGCAGACACTATGAATAGTACCTACCGCAATATTTAAGGCAATATAAGTATGTGTGTAGAGTACTTGTGTATGTACAACATGTTTAGGTAAAATATGCATGTATCTACGTGAAAACAATGTGATGACAAAATTAAAAAATTACAAAATAATGTTATTTAATTATTTTTTACTTTTTTATTACCTCTACCGATTTAATTTAGTATGAATTAATTGTAGTAAATAAAATTATTTTTCAATGTTATAAACAAGACATTTGAGCACAATATATGCGTGTTTTTTATTTTGACAGCTGTCATCTAGCCATTGAACTATATAGAATAACACAGTGATGGGAATTTATATGAATTTGCAATCGAAAAAAAAAATTCGCGTATAAGTATGAAATTGGAAAAGTGAATATTATTTTGAATTATTGGATTATTACGTAAGTGATAAAATCGGAACTAAAATTTATTCAACTGAAAGAATATACTAACAAATTGCAGTATTCTTAATATTCTATTGAAAGTTTAATATACAAAATTAATGGCATTAAAATTAATTACTTTTCTGTGATAATTTTCAAAATTTTGATATATATTTCAAAGTGTGTCATAAGTATAAGTGAATCAAAACTATTCAGTTAGTTTATTCCATACAACCAAAAACTCCTAGAGTATTGAGTATTCCGGAGTTTTATATTAAAAGATATCTGTGATAAAACACTCAAAATTTTGCTTTATATAAATAAAACATATAAAAATGTTAGAAAATTTCAAAACATAAATAACTTTCGTTTTCGTTCTCACTATTCGTTAACGCAATCGTTACGTCATAATGCAATATTTCCTTTATTACAAAAGTACCTCATTTTCGTGACAAATATCCACAGAATACTATTGAATTAATGTCCGAAATCTTGAAATTTGCCATTAATAAAAGTAAGAATTTTAATATTTTTTCTTTTAAAATTTTTATTTAAATAATAAACTATTGAAAATATTGAAATATTAATAGGTTAGAGACTTTGTCATAAAAAAAAACAAAGAATGTCAAAATGAAGAGGAACTATGCAATATAATTATAGTTTTTAAGTATTTCATTTTCATCTTTTATGCTTCATTTATTATTTATTTGCTTTTATAAAGTTTAAATATTGGAAAAATGCGGTGTTACCTTAGGCGCTTTTTTTTATAGTTCATAATTTTAATTTTGGTATTTCAAGCAAGTACAATAATAAAAAGTAAGTTTATAGAGCACATTTCCAGTAAAAAATTTTTTATGCTTGTTCTTATTGTTTGAAGGGTTTCTATTTAAATCATTATTCAAATGGTCTTACCTATAGCTTCGCATAAAATTACAAATTTATTATTAAATTATAATAATAAATATGTTATTGTAATGTAATAGTATAAATAACGGTTCCAATTTTATACTGTAATATTGGAACAGTCGAATTCATATTCTATGAAAATTTGAAATAGAAATAGATAAAAACATTTTTTCTTTAATAGTTCTAAAAACATTCAATAGACATGCAATTTGAATAAGTTTTTTTTAAATACCTAAATCACTCAAGCTTTCATCAAATCTT